AAAAAACACCGCACACCAACGCTGTTTAAAAAATCCTAGTGAGATGCAAGTGAAGAAGAAAATCTTGCAGAAAAAAAACACCGCACACCAACGCTGTGCAGAAATACCAGTGGGATGCAAGTGATCAAGAAAGTCTTGTAGAAAAAAAACACCGTACACCAACGCTGTGCAAAAACCCCAGTGGGATGCAAGTCAAACAACAACAACATCGTGCGGCGTGTAAAACATCGCCGCTTTGGAGGCGAATTGTGGCCGTGCGTGGTGCTGTCCACACCACCGTGCCAAGTGTCGTTCCGGCCTTCTCCATAGGTGCACGCTTGCAGCTCTGGCCACAACAGTCTGATAGGGATATATATACTCTTAGGTTTTGTCGGTAAAGTCACGTAGGTAAAAAATAAAATTAAAATTTTATTTTACTTCTTCTTGGTTCTTTATTTTATTGTTTTCCTTCTACGTGACTTTACCGAAAGAACCAAGAAGATGAATCCCTGCAGTCACGAAAGCTTTAAATCGAAATGTATTTTACTTTTATTAATTTTCATTAAATTTTTTACCTACGTGACTTTACCGAAAAAAACCTAAGAGTATGAATCCTTGCAGTCACGAAAGCTTCAAATCTAGAATGTTATGGCTATGTCACGGGGAATCTTTGTCCTAGGGGGGCAGTGTCGTTGACTGACCACTTCTGGCTCTTCCCCCCGCGACTTGATATTTGTTGCGATGAGAAAAACGTGGTGACGAAATTAAGCCATACACTGTGTAGTTAAATATAGCAACACATGCCATACCATACTCCCCTCTCAGTATTGTGATGGAGTGTTATACATTTCGTGGTTTATAATGGCAGACTACAGTATGCACAAATTAAACCGTTCACATTTGTTTCGCAACCAGTCGTACATGCTCTTTGTCTAATATTATAAACCAAGAACGTCCTAAGGGGCAGTGCCAATAATTTCCTATTGCATTGCAGACTCCTGTGAGTTGGTGTTCACAATTTAGAGATATATCTTCTTGGTTCTTTCGGTAAAGTCACGTAGAAGGGAAATAATAAAAATAAAACATAATAAAAAACCAAGAAGATGAATCCCTGCAGTCACGGAAGCTTTAAATCGAAATGTAATTTAGAGATTGTAATTCTCAAGTTGAAATAAACACTTTTTGTATTGAACAGTAATACATGCTGTTTGTTGTTGAAATATAACAGGCTAAATATAATAAGCATTAGCAAAGGCATGGGTAATCGCACACTTATAAACTCATTGGTTAAAGTAAACACGATTAGTGTGGGGTTGTATCTGTTATCAGTAAAGCGCTGACGTGGCATGGCATTAGCGTACCACGCAAGTGTGTTTTGCAATCATCGAGACGCAAACCTTTAAACTAAAGTACAATATTCAAACAATGCGTTTCACTTCTCTGTCAAATTACTTGCTATCTTCCTACTTTTCGCAGTGATCTCCGACATGTATTGCGAATATACGCGGCTTTTGTCTATGTCTGGTTTATAATTATTAGTCTTATCCTTCAATGTAAAATTACACCACCCGCTGCTTTTAGTGAGATTTGCTTTATACGGCAACACATGGTTATCCCAGGCGAGAGAAAATATATTTTAGAAGGGCAGACCTTGAAAAAAATCTATTACAAGGGCAGAAGGACCAAGGGTAATCATAATAGGATAATAAAATTGCTCTATACTGTGAGAGAATTAAATCATATAAAAACATCACGTGTTAATTAAGTAGTGCTTTTATTCCGTGTGCGTGTAATTTTGTCAAATATGTCCTTCATATTCGTCAAAGCCATAAACGCCGCTGTAAGTACAGTATTTAACTTGAACGTGTGTTTGCCAATTCTAATTGACTATATGCTATGTAATTCTCTAAGCTATCAATCGTGTATCTTTATATTAAAACACTTGTTTTTTATAATTTGGTTATAGTCCAGTTTATATCCTGTACAGCCTGTTTCTGTGTTTCGTCTGAGTGTCTTTAAAAAGTGCAATCTCAGTGGGCTTTCACTTGGTTACCTTGTTAAAATGAACAACGCCAATCCTCAAACGCTGTTCATGGGCTAGAGGCACGCAACTTTATAATTCGGGAATTGCTGAATCGAAAAAAATATCAAAAGTATTTTTTATTTTACATCTTCCTACGTATATTTAAACATGAGCACAAACACTTTATTTGACAGCAAGAATAACGGGATATCGTTGATAGTAGTGCACACATGAAAAAAAAAACAATCACCACATTGTCACGTACATGCAGTTTTATTTCACATTAAAATCCCTTGAGAGAGAACATCTCGTTTTCAAGGATGTACTGTCTTAGAACAGAACATAAATATTGTGATAGGCTAACGTTTCTGGTAATGGCCTTTTCAAAATCATTAACGCATATTTAAGTTATCGGGCAGACGTGGTGAGTTGTATTGTTTCTTCACAGGGGTTAGTTGGGGTCGAGTAAAAAAAAAACAACAACAATCGTGTGATGCCTGCTCACCTACAAAGTGTTTGTATTGGCGACTGCCATGCACTGCGGGTTGTTTTTGGCTCCGGGGGATACGTGTTGGGCAGCAAGAGTGCAGCAAAAATCCGGTCCCGGGCCTCCGCTAGGTCGACTCAGCCTCAAATGAGTCCCTGGCGTGATGTGTAAACATCGCCACTAGGGAGACAAAGGCGGTCGGGCGTGATGTTGGCCACCCACCACCTCGTGTGCCGTGCCGGCCTAAATAGATTCTCGCTAACAGCACTTGCCCCAACAGTCTTTTGCAGGTTATACGGGGGAGCTTTGTCTTTGTATAGGGGGGAGCGGTGGCGTAGTGGTTAGCGCTACGCTTGCAGCAACCCCGCCTTCACCAACGCGCACACAGATCCGCCTGGCGTGGGGATTAACCAAGGGCTGTCCATGTACGCATGTGTACCTAACCGAACCTATTCTAACTCTTTGGTTCTTTCGGTAAAGTCACGTAGGTATAAAATAAAAATAAATCACGACGTTTCGGGCGCAACACAAGCACCTGTGCTTTCCCACCTGATGACGGACGCTTGTGTTGCGCCCGAAACGTCGTGATTTATTTTTTATTTTCTACCTACGTGACTTTTACCGAAATAACCAAAGAGTATGGGTTCCTGCAGTCACGAAAGCTTCAAATCAAGATTGAACATTATTATTCCATGCATCTCTCACCCACACCGAAATCGACCCAGTCTGGGCCCTATCGGGGGTCAGACGTCAGAAATCCCATCAGGGAGCTTGAGCCTGGATTGTGTTGAGGCCACCACCTAACGGGTTGTTAAAGTTTAATCTAGATTTGAAGTGATTTTATTTATTTTATACCTCCGTGACTTTTACCGAAAGAACCAAAGAGTGGGGGTTGTTACAGGCTGAGGAGGAAGCACGTTTGGGGCCAGCAGAGGGCAGTCAAACAAAACCCAATTGTGCCTCCAAGTGCTCTCCACCCCCCCTCCCAACGCTCTGTGACCAGCGCGGTGAAGTATGGTCAAACGACTCTCGCCGCCTGCATCACGGCGTTGGGGGGGGGGGAGAAAGAGGACTCCATCCACCCGGCAAAGTGGATCGACAGGCGGTCTGTGCATGTCTCCACCGCATGGGCTGTACATGTCAACAAAAGACAAAGATCCCCCGTATAGCCTGTAACAGACTGTCGGGGCAAGTGCTGCTTAGCGAGCACCTTTCGAAGTCCGGCACGGCACACGAAGGGGTAGGTGGCCAAGCACCACGCCCGACCGCCTTTGTATCCCCCCCAACGGCGATGTTTTGACACACCGCGCCAGGTACTCATTTGAGGCTGAGTCGACCTAGGGGTGGAGGCCCAGAACCGGGTTCAGATAATCGCCACCGGTGTTGGTGGCCGTGAGTGGGAATCGAACTTGGGTCGCCGGGTTCGTAGCGCAAGCGTAGCGCTAACCACTACGCCACCGCTCCCCTCCTACAGAAGCAAAGACAAAGCTCCCCCGTATAGCCTTAACAGAATGTTGAGCAAGTACTGGTTACACACAAAGACACAGATCCCCCGTATAGCCTGACACAGACTGTTGGGGCAAGTGCTGTTTGACACACAAAGACAAAGCTCCCCCGTATAGCCTATCACAGACTGTTGGGGCAAGTGCTGTTTGACACACAAAGACAAAGCTCCCCCGTATAGCCTGTCACAGACTGTTGGGGCAAGTGCTGTTTGACACACAAAGACAAAGCTCCCCCGTATAGCCTATCACAGACTGTTGGGGCAAGTGCTGTTTGACACACAAAGACAAAGCTCCCCCGTATAGCCTGTCACAGACTGTCAGGGCAAGTGCTGTTTGACACACAAAGACACAGATCCCCCGTATAGCCTGTCACAGACTGTTGGGGCAAGTGCTGTTTGACACACAAAGACAAAGCTCCCCCGTATAGCCTATCACAGACTGTTGGGGCAAGTGCTGTTTGACACACAAAGACAAAGCTCCCCCGTATAGCCTGCCATAGACTGTCAGGGCAAGTGCTGTTTGACACACAAAGACAAAGCTCCCCCGTATAGCCTGTCACAGACTGTTGGGGCAAGTGCTGTTTGACACACAAAGACAAAGCTCCCCCGTATAGCCTGTCACGGACTGTTGGGGCAAGTGCTGTTTGACACACAAAGACAAAGCTCCCCCGTATAGCCTGTCACGGACTGTTGGGGCAAGTGCTGTTTGACACACAAAGACAAAGCTCCCCCGTATAGCCTGTCGCGGACTGTTGGGGCAAGTGCTGTTTGACACACAAAGACAAAGCTCCCCCGTATAGCCTGTCGCGGACTGTTAGGGCAAGTGCTGTTTGACACACAAAGACAAAGCTCCCCCGTATAGCCTGTCACGGACTGTCAGGGCAAGTGCTGTTTGACACACACGCACGCACGCCAATGACCACACCTCCACCGTCGTTGACTCCACCCCCCAAGGGGGCAGCCAGCCCGCCTGTCGCTTGGACCTGTTGCTTGCTGGCTGTGGGCGTTGCATGCTGGCTTGTCTCCCTTGCCTGTACGCCGTGTCAATTAAGAAGCGAGCAGAGAGAGAGAGAGACGGAGAGGTGTGAAAGAAATCAAGAGGTTGGGGGGGGGGTAAAACAACATCGTCGTTTCGAGAAGAAGAGTGCAAGAACGCAGGTGGAAGAGCGGCGAGAATCGGTGGGGTGGAGGGTGTCGCAGAAGACAAATTTGTCGCCAATTGTCAACGATGGCGAAAGAGAACGGTGGAAGAAAAGTGAACGTTTAAAAGGACAACAACAACAAAAAAAATAACTTTAAAAAATCAAAGCGAAGATTTCGAAAAAGAAGGACGATGTAGACGAAGAGGGTGAGGAGGAAGAGGAAGAAGAACAAATATAATTTAAATAAGGTGGTGGTTTTGTTGTGTGTCTCAAAAGGGCCCAGGCCACCGCGTGTGCGCCCATAACAACCGGCCGCGTCCTCTAGCGAGCCGGGCACTTGACCAAAAAAACAACGCCTCTCTCGTCGTCTCTTGTTTTATTTTCACATCAACATTATAACTACGACTATTACCTGCGCTGCCGTTTGAGAGAAGGAAGAAAGGAAGAAGAGGAGGAGGAGAAGAGAGGGGGGGTTGGTTTACGTGTTGTGCGTGCGTGCGTGCCAATTGTGTTGGGTCACGAATGCATGCAGACAATGGGTGACTTGGCATCGTTGTCGTCAATCGCGTGGGATTTCTACGTCGTTGTAGGGTTTTGATTGCTGATATAGAACAACACAACACAAATAATTGACGGTGGTGCTGGTGGGTGACCGGCCGGTTCCATCGGAAGAACACGAAGATAATTACAGACGTAATTCGGTAAGGAAGACGATTTCACAACGGCAAGGTGAGTGAGTGTGTGTGTGAGTGTGATGATTGTTGCAGAGATAATTACGACAATTGTTGTTTGTGTTATGTCCAGCCCCACGGGGGTTTGTGTAAGCAAGCTTCCGATATGTCACGTTTGTTAAGTATATGCCACGTACATTGCGTGTGTTGGGTACACGTTTATAATCAACGACTTGAGAGTAACACCCACTATAACACACGTGTCCCTTGACATGCTTGTAACATATGCTGTGTGCTGATTATACAACGAAGCCTTAGTTATGGCCACATATACAATAGGCCGTGTAAACGAATGCACTGTACACATTTGCTATGTGTTGTGTGTATATATAAACTATAATCTCTATGCTCAATATTAATTCGCAGTAATATTGCTTATTGGCAGCCCTTTGCTAATCCTTTGCTGGATGAAGGCATCGCCAACGCCGTTGTAGGTTTAAGAGTGATTGCTTGAGCATACTTCACCACACCGGTCACTGGGAGCTCGTTCCTAGGACGATCCCGATCAGAAATCACCACCAGCCACTGATGTTAGCCGTGGCTAGCCGGGTTCATAGTTCAGTGCGCTAACCACCGTGCCACCGCTCCACCTTGTGTATGCTACTGAGCAATACAATATGCACACCACGTGGTATGTGCATGTGTTGTGTGTGTATAGTGGTGTGTAATTCATTATCTAATAGCATACAAGGTACGAATGAAGTCGTTGCCTGTCAACTTTGCTGCTGTGATGAATAGGTTCATTGGAATAACAGGGTTGTAACAGGGTTGTATTGCCTCCTGAGTAGCAGTAAAACACCTAATCATCTTTAAATGTACACGTTACGGTGTGTATGTTAACATGTTACATGCTTTTTACACTGCATGACAGTACCACATGCACGTATGTACATGTACCAGGCCCACGTGTCAAGCCAGTGTTGGATGAGGCTTTCCCCACCCTCGGTGTGTTATTACACCACACTTGCACATCCTACAAAACCGTATATGTTATAGGATGTGGCATAGAGTATATAGTAATAATGTAGGTGGACCTGGTTGAAACAGATGGTATGGAAATGATACGTTGCACTCTCTCCAATTGCTGCGGTGCAAGCTAATTAGGACGTCTTCTCAAAGCCGCATCTTTTCAAATGTTAATGTTGTACACCGTGAACGCATCTGTCAATTGGTACACATACATGATAATAGACAACACGTTTGGGACTGAGCATCCGATTGAGGGCGACAACCAGGGAGATGGAGCTTTTGTGACCCAGTTGACATGCAGGAGGAGTGGGGAAGCCCTCCAGCAGCGGACAAACGAATGGCTGATGATGGTGAATGTTGGACCACGGTGTGTGAGAGCTTGTGTCCAGGCTGTGGAGTATACAACACTGACCTTTACACAATGCTTTGCTGCTGGCTACGGCGAGGTACAACACGCACATACGTAGTCACTCTTTCTGGAATGCACAGAATAATTATCACTCTACATTCTCCGACAGAAAACGAAAGTCCAAGCAGACTTTTGACGGTGTGACGTGCTGCGGAAACTGAATCTGCTGCCGACGATGTTATTTCAAACGTTTACATTTTAAGATGAATAAATGCGGTACAGTACGAGAGATGAAATATGCTATGAATTAACTGTGATAGCTGTTCCCATGCTGGTACATAGATAAGGACACGATTTTCCGACTTTACACATTTTTTTATGGCTTGCCTGCATTTTATTGAAGGATTGTTTGCATGCTCTACTGTATGCCTTTATGGCTTACCATGTGCACTACTCTGTTGGTACAAACTGGTGCTGCGTCTTTTTGATATTCAGGTCAAGATGTTATCACAACTGATGCCACCACACCTCGCAAATACTTCCTGCTCCATTCATTTGTTGCCTTTGTTCGTTGACCTCTGGTTGGAAGTCCAATTGGCTGTCTGGAATCTGCCCACTCCCGTCTTGCACACGTGTCCGACTCACCCCAACCATCTTTTCATGGTGACATCATCACTGCAACACTTGGCTTCATCCTACGTTTTATAAGGAATTTCCAAGTCGTTTGCCCTATTATACATCCATGCAATTTGTATCATTCTTTTCGTGTGCGCCATATTCAAAAGCAGTAATCAGATTTGTCTAGTCGCTCTGACTGTACACATTATGGAAGCATTTCGCAGTGCTGTATTTTTTTTAAACCATTATATTTCCCCCGTGGCGAGAGATGAAGATAGGATTTTGGGAGTCCTTCATCCAGCAGTAGATTGAGCATGGCCGATGATGACAGAACCCCTCCGCAGCACCATGCCAACGAGTGTCAAAAGGACAGAGAGCGCATGTTTGTGATGGACTTTTATCAGCTACTCTGCTTTGTCATAAAGTGTATGAGAGTGGCTTTCTGTGCGTGCAGGTACTAATGATGGGAAAGCAAGCCCAGACATCTCTCATTGTGTGGTATTGCATAGCCACGGGCACACACGCCTGGCGTGCCTTCTGAGCCACAGTTGTAGCCAGAAAAAATGTTAATACTTTATACAGTAATGCTGGTGTTAATGTGCAGTTGGAGTGGAACTATAAGGCGTATAAGTTTATAGATAACTTGTCCCCATTGATGTGCCTATTGGGATGTTAATGTGTAAGGTTGAACTATAAAGTCACTTTACCTTTGTACGCTAGATAATAATAGTTTCAGTAAAATTTAACGACCTTTGTTAATCCAATGCTAGGTCAAGGTCATCCCAAACAATGTGGGTCATGGGAGATGATTTGGCCTTAGTGCTGTATCAGCACAGGTTGGTGAAGGAGGGGGGGCCAGTGCCTGTTCAGTTATCACTCGCCACTGATGTTAACTGTGGTTAGGAATCAAACTCGGATCACAACACAATGTGCTAACCACTGTGTCACCAATTCCCCCCTTTCGTGATAGTACTGTACTCTAGTCCGTTGAATTGAGGTTGATACTGAAAAGCGGTCCACGTTGGCAGCTCCGACAATGATCACAACCACGGACATGGACAAAATGGAACAATATCTGACAAGAGGGCAAAGAAACGTGGCGAGACGCTGGCTGGGAATTGCACCGAGAGACAGAAAGAGGACCACGTCGTGGTTCATGGATCAGACACAAATCAAAGACATTTTGACTTTAAAATGGGACTGTTTTGGGTGAGACATTGCTCACCGATGGAGGAGACTGGTGATAATGGCTGAAAAGGGAGAGAGAGCTACCTGAGAGGAGATTGAGCGGCGAGATTAGTTCATGTGCAAGGATTGAGTCAAATTGTGGTATCACAGTAGCGTGAGGGGTGGTGTAGGTGTTGGGAGGCCTTCATCCAACTGTGGATAGATAATGGCAGGTTATGATGAGTTCATGCTTCAGTACAGCACTATACATTACAGGATAAACATTTTTTTTTGAAATTTCAGAATGTTTTGGGAGTGGAATGGTAATGATACACAAGCTGCTCTCTTGGTAATGTTTCAAATACTGTGCAGTACTTAATCAATCGTACAGTACGTGGCCATTCACATCAACCCTAATACATCACTGGCTTGTTTTAGCACCCACACAACATGTTTGACAACCCTTTGTACTAAAATGACGAAAGACATTTTCATATTGCAGAAATGACAGGAAACCACGAATGATATTGCACTGTAGCAGTGGACAGCCTACGAAATAAATTGTTCATCAGGAGAGTATCCCCCTTACCTTTTAAAATTCACATACGTGTGTCAGCAGCGATGATGTATCCACTGCTGAAGACCTCTCTGAGCTTGCACCATCTCTCACAGTATCGTGATGCTACAATCCATGTAGCTCCTGCACACAAGCCGATTTCATTGCTCTGTCTCCACCGTGGACGTACTATTAAGTCGTGTTCCCTTCTGGCTGCCAGTTCCGTCTTTAGTCTCGAGCACAACGTACATGTACTAAGCTTCCTATGCATCTGCAGGAAGTATATTGCATACCAGATGTTGACAATCATGATACAGTAGTCGGCACACCATGTATTTGTCGTAGTGCATTGCAGGATCGTGAGGGATGGTGGCATTTTGGGGGATGCCTTGATTCACCGATGGATTGATTCACCAAAATAATAATAGTGGCAAGATGTTAACTACCTCGCCTGGTATACAGGAGGTCCTGGGTTCGATCCCAACCCTTATGCCTATGTATTTGTAAATGTTGATGATTTCCCCATGATAGCGTGGATTTTTCTCCGGGTCCTCTGGTTTCTCCCTCCACATTTAGAATCAACATGCGTTAGAGTATTTGGCTGCTATACATTTCCATGTGATAAGCCACTTCTTTGAGCTATCCGTTTTGGCCAGGTCGCTTCTGAAAAAGCTATATAGCTCAGTGGGCCTTCTCTGGTAAAATACAAATAATTGTTTAGTTTAAATACGCCACACTGCTGCAGATATCGGAATGCAACCCCGTGATCCGTGGGTGTTATGTGAACCGGTCAATAATTACCCATCCTGCCTGCAATGCCCCCAGACACACACACGCACACCAATATCCATGGCATACTGGTAGGAACCACCTGGTTCCACCAGCCCACAGGGGATTATTGCGTCCGTCCGTCGTGCATCCAAAAATGGGAGGGTGGGGCTGGGTGGGGAGGGTGGGGCTGGGTGGAGAGGGGAGGGGTGGGGCTGGGTGGAGAGGGGTGGGGGGTGGGGCTGGGTGGGGAGGGGCTGGTCACCCCGTGGTGCCCTTATAAAACTCAACGTTTAACCTACTCACGCCGGCTTGTGCCTGCCCTCACAGTCGGGCATATTTGCGGAATACACCACGCCGCCGTTGACCCTGGCCATTGACCGAGCAACCCAACGTTCCTACCAGCTCCCTCCGCAGGAATGTGTTCATCAGCCATGACCAATCCACTGCTGAATGAAGACCCCCCCCCCCTTTCCCCCCCATGCCGATGTCATCTCACGGTCGTGTAATGCAACAATCCGTCTGGCACACGCGCACGAGCGAATTTCATCGCTCCATCTCCATGGTGGAC